ACCATATACCCATGTATATACAGTATGTGATATGTACGAGGCATCGTACCTACTTTTTTTATTAAACTTCAAAAAATGCTCATATCAATATAATAGATCCAAATTTTGCCAGCGCGTACGCATGCTCATGGCAGGCCTCGATGCAAAATGAGTTCGGACACCGATAGCAACGTTGTGTCATGTTTGGCTAGTTTTTTGGGGTTCTCACCAAAAAAACCCTTAAAAATGCATAAAATGTTAGAACTTAATGAAATTTATCATGAATGGTGATGCTTGTGTGTGCAAAAAAAAAAATTGGTCCATTTTATGATGTGGAAAAAAAGTGCATGCAGACTTGCTCTATCGGCCAACCCGAACCACCACCTTTGAACATGGTGTGCTTCTTGTCATACATGAAATGACATCAATTTTTTCCAGCACATGGGCATGCTCATGGTAGGCCTCCATGCAAAATCTGAAGGAATTCGGATATCAAACGCAGGTTGCGTCATGTTCGCTAATTGATATATTTTCATTTTTATTTTTCTACTTAATTTATGTACAGAATTTTTAATAGTGTTTGATTTCTTTACGTGAGCATGTTTCTTTTTAAACAAACAATAAACATGCATTTTTGTTTAAATGACCAATAGACGGACATTTTCCTTTAAATGACCAATAAACGAACAATTTTACTATTTAATGGATGTGCAGAAATTTAATTGTATTGATGTGAGCATTTATTTTTTAAACGAACAATTTTTTGACATGTCTGTACAATTTTTAAATGTGAATATTTGTAATTTATGAACAAAATTCTATAAATTAAACAGTTTTAAAAATTTTGAACAAAATTTCTTAAGGGCGAGCATTTTTGAGAAATAAAAAAATTAATAGAAAAATGAAAAAGAAATAATAATAAAAGGACCGGTTCAACAATGGGCCGGCCCAGCCGCAAACTGACGTAGAGAATAAAATAGAAGTAAATATGCGCAAGCATTAGCATGTTCTAGTTGGTTAGTGTGGTACTCCTTCGATCAAGAGGTCTCAAGTTCAATTCATGTTACCTCAATTTATTTTTCTTTTAAAAGAAAGTGAAAAATAGATGAGGACGCTTCAATGTGAGTGACCTTTGGAAGGCCTTAGTTAACGATTTTTGGGTATCACTGTTTCTCGGGAGACAGCCGAAAAACCGGTACCTCGAAATATCCACAAGGAAAAAAAAATCCGTTGTTCGTAGTGCCATTTCTTTTCTTTTGTTCGACAGCACCAGCATGTGAAATCAGTCTATTCTAAGGCCAACTCCAACGCAACACGATCCAAAAGGATGCGCATTTTGTTCCTTTTTGGTACATTTGGGTAGGCAAAACAGACAGCGGACAGGACACCATCATCGTACCCAACACGGAAGACCCATTTGAGACCGACAAGCAACTTTTTCAAAAGAAAAAAAAGATATGTCGCCTACACCACCAGACCACACACGCCTACCTCGAGCCCGTCGTGGAACTGGTGGAGAGGTCCACCGACCGGATCTCGACGGCCAAGTGGCGGGAGCTCCAAGGAGGCGGGCTAAAGGACAAACGGCGGTGGGAGCTCCAGCTCCTCGGGCTGGAGGAGGAGTGGCGGCGGGAGCTCCAGCTCGTCGGTGGAAATGGGATCGCCAACACCGGATGCGCAGCACCGACCGCCCACGTCGCCGCCCCGCCTTGCTTTGCCTAGCCAACAACGGGAACGCCGTCGCCACCTCAACTTGCCTTGCCTCACTGCCGCACCGCCTTGCCGCGTAACTGACCTTGTGTTGCCTCGCCGCCGGCCTCGTCTAGTCATCTGCCAATACGCGTGATAGCGACATGGTGGGTAGGCCAAAAGAGAAAAGGGAGAAGAGAGAGGGGGGAGGGGTGGATGGGTGGTGGGCTAGGCCGGACAAAAGGGCATAGATGGACGCATGGGTCTGTGTCCGCTTCAACCTAAATCTGACTCAAATTGACGACGGAAATGCGTTCAAGCGGACACAAAACAGTCAAAAAATACCATGGGACTCTGTGTTGGGGTGTTGTTTTTGTCATTGCAGACCCAAACGTACACGATCGAACGAAACGGATCCGTGCCATGCAGTTTGGCTAAGGAAGTCCTCTACCTTGCTTCATCAATCAAATCAATTAATCTATGACGATGACCCATTCAAAATGTGTACGATGCCTTTTAGTGGCATGCACATGGGATGGGACTGGGACCGAGCAAAGATTCCTGGTTTTGGAAGACGTGGATCAAGATGATTAATCAAAGTTCATTAGAAAAAAACAATGATAACCCCATATGCTGCACTGTACCATCGGTAACATGGGGTGGCGTGGATCTAGAGGCCAACTAAAGTTAATTAACTCTAGTGAACGTTAAATCTCAGGCTATGTCTGGTGGATGTCGGCTTGAGCGTGAATCTCCCTCCCACATCTCTTCTTCTGGATCTCAAAACTGCAAGAGGTGCGTTTGCTCAAGCTGGTTTCCCTGAGGAGCAGCCATGGCGGCATGGCCACATGCCGCAAGTGGTGACTGTTGCTCTTCGGCTTAGAGCAATCATCACAAGCGAAGGCTTCTCGATCTACTCTGGTAAATCTCTTGCCCAGCTCATGGTAATCTCCCTGCTCTTTTTTTTGCTCTGGAACCTTACGAAGTACATGTATAGGACTAATTTCTTATGTTTTGTTTATAAATATCCTTCATTCCAGCATGCTATCTATCATTCTATCTCTGGAATTTCTGACCTATATAATGCCCATACTACAGGTTCCTCTCAAGCATAGGTAGAAGCCAAGATTAAAAAAAGTTGGCCGGCAAGAGATGACCGGAATAATGGTGAGCGCTTCTACAGGCGCTATGAACTCCCTCCTGGGTAAGCTGACCACCCTCATGGCGGAACAGTTCGCCAAGATGAAGAACCTGCGAAAAGAGGTGAAGTACATCCATGATGAGCTTCGCAGTATGAAGGATGCTCTTGGGAGACTTGCAGATGTGGACGAGCCAGATCCACAGACCAAGAGTTGGAGAAACACACTGCGGGAGTTGTCTTATGACATCGAGGACATCATTGACGACTTCATCCAAAACATTGGGGAGAAAGACAAGAAATCCGGGTTTGTTCGGAAGACGATTCGACGTCTCAAAACTTCAAGGGCCCGTCACAGGATTGCTGGACAGATTGAAGACATCAAGAAACTTGTGTATGAGACTAGTGATCGCCACAGAAGATATGACCTTGATAAGATTATCCCACAATCAAGTAATGTTGTTGCCATTGATCCACGAGTTAAAACACTATATGAAAAGGCGGCTAATCTTGTTGGCATGGAGGGGCCAAAGAATGAGCTTGTAGATTGGCTAATTGATGAGGAGAAGCAGCTCAAGGTCGTATCAGTTGTGGGATTTGGAGGTCTAGGCAAAACAACACTTGCCAATGAGGCATACCAGAGGCTAAAGGGCGATTTTGCCTATGGTGCATTCGTGCCAGTGTCCCAAACGCCAAACATTCCAAATCTTCTACGAAGTTTACTATCCCAACTTGGTACACAGCCACCTATTGATGCTTGCGATTCACATCTTATTGACAAACTAAGAGAATGTCTGCAGACTAAGAGGTACATACTATAGCTCCTTGTATTATATTTTGTCATTGTCTTTGATAGCAAGATATCATAAGAATGCTTATTATACATGCCTAATTTGGTCTCAAAAAGAGAATGAAATATATTGTATAGATAATGTTTTTCTGGAAAACAAATCGGATCAGCCTATCAAACAGTCGAGGTGTTGAAACAATTATACATATAGTAACTGCGCTTAACAATCTGTATGGGAAAATCAGTTTAAATGTGAATTGTTTACTAAGTTTCTTATGAATGAAAAATATTTCTTAAACAAAAGGTGTTAAATAATTTTAGCTTATATATTACGGTTTTTCTGTAATTTTGTGTTTGTCTTTGTTATCCAGCCACAACTAATAATTGATTGAAGGAAGTTAAATCTCTCGTGTTTAAACTTCTATTTTTTTGTAAGTGTTCTTAACATTATGTTGTATGTATGGCAGGTACTTGATTATAATTGATGATCTATGGGATGTATCAGCCTGGGAATTTATTAAATGTGTTTTCCCAGAAAATGATCTTGCCAGCAGAGTAATAGTGACTACACGAAGTCTAGAAGTTGCTACGGCATGTTGCTCCCCTCACCATGAGTACATTTTACAAATGAAACCCCTCAGCAACGAAGACTCAAGGAAGCTATTTTTTGGCAGGATATTTGGCTCGGAGGACATTTGCCCTAACCACCTCAGAGATGTTTCAGTTGAAATTCTGAACAAATGTGGTGGCTTGCCTCTTGCAATTATCAGCATAGCAGGCCTTCTAGCTAGTGAAGGTCCCAACGAAGAAGAGTGGGAACATGTACGGAATTCTTTGGGCTCGATGTCTGGAACAAAACTCACACTGAATGGGATGAGGCAAATCTTAAACCTCAGCTACAAAGATCTTCCATCTCATCTGAAGACTTGCTTGTTATATCTTGCTATGTATCCGGAGGACTACACCATACTGAGGTCCGATATGGAACGCCAGTGGATGGCGGAAGGCTTCATTAGTAAAGAAAATGGACAAGATGTGGAGAAAAATGCAAGAAACTATTTCAATGAGCTTGTCAATAGGAGCCTTGTTCAGCCCGTAGAGTTTGATGTTGGAGGCGCAGTGATAACATGCAAAGTACATGATATGATGCTGGATCTTATCTTGTTTAAATGCAAAGAAGAGAATTTTCTCAGTATAGTGGACGGCTCAGAAGCCATTACAGAAGGGGAATATAAGGTTCGTCGGTTGTCTCTTCGTTTGAATGATTCAGATAATGGAATATTACCAGAAAATATAAGTTTGTCACAGGTTCGCTCCGTTATGATCTTTGGACACTCTGGTAAAATACCTCCTCTGTCAAAGTTCAAGTTCCTCTGAGTTCTTTCTGTCGAGAACCACAGTACAATGGACCTCACTGGAATGAGTGAACTATATCAGCTAAGATATGTAATGGCTGGTACCGGTTTTGGTTTGCAGCTACCAAGACAGACTAGAGGGCTCCAGCAATTAGAAACCCTTGATACATACAATTACAGTAGTATTCCATCTGATATAGTTCATCTGCCACACTTGTCGCATCTGGGTATTGGATATGCATGTAAGCTGCCTGATGGGATCGGAAACATGAAATCCCTGAGGTTTCTTAGGGGATTTCATTTGAATTTTGAAACAAACTCACTAGATAACTACAAGGGCCTTGGAGAGCTTACCAATATGAGAAATCTGTTTCTCTCCGGCAACTTCGAAGATCAGGACGCCGATGAAAGACGCATGGATGTTCTATGCTCTTCTTTGAGAAAACTTTGTAGGCTCGAGTCCCTGTACATACATAATATAAAAAGATGCATGGATGGTTTGTCTCTTGCTCCCTGCAGCCCTCAGCGACTCCACGCCAAAGGTATAGATTGGTGGTTCTGTTGGTTTTCCAGGGTCCCTAACTGGATGAGGGAACTTCATAACCTCCATGAGTTGCATCTCCAAGTTGACGAGCTGCTCGATGATGGTATTGGTATTCTTGGGGGGTTGCCCTCCCTCATCGACCTTGATTTACAGGTCCGAAGATCACCAAAACAAATGATTATCATCGATGGAAGAGGAGCATTCCCTGTTCTAAAGCATTTTGAGATCGGCTTGAGCAGAGCATCATACCTGATCTTCAATTCTGGGGCGATGCCCATGGTCCAGATGCTGGAGTTAACTTTCAACATGGATGTACAGACGCAGAACGGAGCCGGACCAGCCGGCATCGAGCAATTGGCTGCACTGGAAGAGGTGTCTGCGCGTATCTCATGCGTCAAGGCTACGGAATCTCAAAAGAGCTGCGCTGAATCTGATTTCAGGAGTATTGTGGACAGGCATCCCGGGAATCCACGGACTCTAGTCCGCTTTTGGAACTGGCCGGTTTGTATGGAGGACTAATTTCTGCTTCGACTCTGCAGCAAGTTTCCACCTACAGTATCCCAGGCCCCCCTGCTTGATATGTGCTTTATTGCGTTGCTATTATCAGTAATCGTTTCTTTATCATGGCAAGGTTTTCCTGCTATTATCAGTAATTCGAATGAGGTATTCCACATCATTTTTCTTGTTTGATTTCATTCTTGCTAATTAATACTACTATATTTGTGCTATTCTTTGATCGTGGTTCTGTGATCTTTGTGCTATTCTTTTAATTTCTTTTAGGCTACTTTATGTTAGATTAACGTGAGAAATGAACCAGCACGAGTGGTTCTGATGAACTCCCTCACCTGCGTAATTTCAGAGATGTTTAACCTGTCTCAATGATATTGGTTTGTAGGAAATGAAAAGGATGTCAATTCCTATTGATTAACTGGGGTAGCTTTGTGAGGACAACAATAGTATGCTGCAACTAGATGTCTACCAATATATACAAGTCACAACGGATGCAGATGAATTGTTAGATGGACTGCTGGACGCATCTTCGCTTCTTGTGCCACCTGATTCCATTTACCCTTAGTGAACATTCAATTCATTATCTCACCGAGTTGCATCTCGTTACCTCTATGGATGAATGATGACCACGTTTTTGTTGTGCTTGTAATAAGGGTTGGTGCTGGGCAGGAGCTTGCACTGTCATAGATGGTTGCTTGCCCCTTCCTCCCAGCTTTTCCAGCCTCCGAATTATCCTGTTCATTTATTTTCGTGTGCTTGCTCTGTATTGAACTGAACATTCCTTGTTTGAAGATTCAACTTGTTGAAGAGACAGTTTATTCGAGATGTATTGTAATTTGTTCAGTTCTACTGTAACTTTTTTGAGCATCAGTACAAACACAAGCGCTCATATAACTTTGTGATCAAATGCTGTTTCACTCATTTTTCCGTTGGAGGTTGTAGCACCTGCTCTGCATTACAAGGGCCTCATCGCACTAGGTGTCAGGATAACATAGCTGAGTTACTTGATGCAATTTTGGCTTAGAGGAACACCAAGTCAGATCTGTCTGCGAAATAACCGTCTGATAGCACCCCAGCAGTCGCCATGATGATTCGAACACGGCCGGGTGGGCGGATTGATGCATGCAGCTGCTTCACTACCGCCGATCTGCTCAATGCCCATGGACCTACGTACATACACTGTTTGTAAGCATTACTTTACAGTACAGCCGTATGTACCTACTGAATGGACATGTCATCTACTTCCTCTGTAAATATATATAAGATGTTTTACATCACTGTATACGTTGATCTTTTTCTGAATTAATATATGTTGATCTTTTTCTTGAATCATATTGTAATATAAATTTTTTAACCTGCAGGAACATTTATTTTACCTTCTTTACATATTTTTTTAAATGTCACAAACAAATTTTTGGAAACGTGTGAACTTGATCTAAAATGTCATGTATAATTTTGAATGTTATGAAACATTGTTTTTTAGAATAGAAAAGCATTTTTTTTAAATTTCACATACATTTTCTGAAACAAGGGAACAGTTTTAAATGCAAGAGATTTTAAAATTATAAAAGTTGCACAAATTTTATTATTTGCACTATATTAATATTTTTATGTATACGTGATGAATGTTTTTTTAAATTTAAGTAAAAATATTCCAATTAATAAATGTAAGAAAAAGTTATAAAAATAGTAGTAATGTGCTCTAGAGGCCCAAAGAGCATCCCGCAATGGGGAAGCCCATTTAAGTGACACATCGTCTCCAGCGATCCTATACGGCGCGTACGGCCCATTTCGGGGTTTAACCGCAACCGGTTTTGGGAAGGTTTTCGCACCTTCCCTGAACCGGGTTTTCATGTTTTTCTTTCGGGTTTTCTTTTTCTTTTTCCGTTTTTTCTTTTCCTTTTTCTATTTTCTTTTCATTTTTTATTTACTTTTATGTTTTCATTTTTATTCTTGTTTTTCAATTTCCGAAAATCTATTAATTCACGATTTGATTTGAAAATCATATATTTTAGAGTGATGAACATTTTTTCCAAAATCGTGGTTTTATTTTTTACTAAATCGTTACTGTTAAATCATGAATTTTTTTTTTCAAACGGTGAACATTTCTTAAAACTAATGAACATTTTTGTTGAAATCCTGAACAATTTTTTAGAAATTTGTGAACATTCTCTTAAGTCGTGAACATGTTTTTCAAATAATGAACATTTATTTTGAAATAATGAACATTTTAAAATTAAAGACTACTTTTTCAAAATCATGAACAGTTTTTTTTTCAAATTCTTTAGCTTTTTTAGCATTACCGAACAATTTTTTTTTTGAATCGTGAACATTTTTTCCAAATTCTTGAACATTTCTTGAATTAGCGAACATTTGTCCGAATTTTCTAAATTTTGAACATTTTTTTAAGTTTGTGAACATATTTTTACAAATTCATGAACAGTTTTTGAATTCCAGAGCATATTTCTGTAATCATGATTTACTTATTTTGTGAACATTTTTCAATTCCATGAACATTTTTTTGAAATCATGATCATTGTTTTAAATTCATTAACATTTTGAAAATTTGTGAACATTTTTTGCCAAATTCATGAACAATTTTTGAATTACCGAGCATCTTTTTGGAAATCCTGTTTTTTTTGAAATCATGATTATTTTATTCAAAATTAGCAACTTTTCTGAAATTTAGGACCTTTTTTTATCCCGAATTATTGGCAAAAAGAGAAAAAGAAAAGGAAAAAAGAAAAAGGAAACATCCGCAAAAAACAACAGGCAGCGTCCCGGCCACACATGGCCGGCCCAGAAGAGGAGCTGGGGGTGCGTGCCCGCTTCCTTTGCAGCGCGTGCTGCGCCCTCGGGGTTCCTACGCGCACCGCTCCGGGGAGCCACGTAGCACGTACCCCCGGGACCTCCTATGCGCCGCTCTTTGCGTCCGATTCGCAAGCGCCGCACAGGTACAGCCCCCCGAATGGGCCGGCCCATCGTCGCGACGAAACAGCAAAATCATCACCTAAAATTATAACGCGAAGGGGGGGATCGGTCCCTGCATCTGGAGCTAGTATACTCTTGTCACTAACCAGGCGAGCTAACTACCTCCTTCGGTCATATCTAACGCGGGTACTTTAAAAGATCATCTACTACATATCTAACACCCCCACCTAGAAACCTTAAACATTGGATATGTTCAAAAAATTAAAAAATTCAAAAATTGTTCGCGTTTGCTGAATGCTAGAAGAACAACTAAAAAACTTGAACAAAGTTTTGATAAAATGAACACTTTTTAAAATCCCGAACATTTTTTGAATTTAGAGAACAAAATTTTGTACGCGAACGTTATGTTTGAGAGAAAAAGTTAAGTTCGTATGAAATATGTGAACATTCTTTAAAACTGCCGAACAAAATTTGAAATATGTGAACAAATTTTTGAAATGGGAAAATTTTACGAAACTCACGAACAAAAATTTTGAACTTGAACATTTTCTGAAAAAATGCAAACAAAATTTGAAAAGGAACATTTACTGAAACTCACGAACAAAAATTGAAAAAACGAACATTTTTCTTAATTTGCGAACAAATTTTGCAAAGTTGTGAAATTGTGAAAAAAAACATAAAAAGAAAAAGAAACTAAAAAAAGAAAAGAGAAACAAAATTTGAAGATGAGAACATTTTTTTAACTTTGAATAATTTTTTGAAAGCATGAACATTTTTTCAAGTCAGGAACAAAAATTGAAAATGAGAACATTTTGTAAAGTTTTGAACAATTTTTTTGAAAGGATGAACAAAATTTGAAAATGAGAATATTTTGTGAAGTTTTGAACATTTTTTGAAAGCATGAACAAATTTTGAAAAATGAGAACATTTTGTGAAGTTCTGAACAATTGTGAGCAACACAAAAAAATTGCAAAAATAATAATATAACTTTGAAAAGAGAAAAACAAAAAACAAAAAAATGAAAAAGAAACAGAAAACAGGAAAAAAAGAAACATAAAAAACAATAAAAAAGATAAAAAAGAAAACAGAAAAAGAAAAAAGAACATTAAAACAAAAAAGAAAAAGTAACAGTAAAAGAAAAGAAACAAAAAGGGGTAAAGGGGGAAATAGAAAAACTGGTTCAGGAACCTTCTAGAAGGTTTCCAAAACCAGAAAAACCGGCTGGGATCTACCTAGAAGATTCCCAAAACCGGGTTCGCTTTAACGTTTGAACGGGCCGGCCCATCCTAACGCGCTCGTCAATCTGCCTGTGCGTCCGGTCGACTACTTGCCGCAA